AATAATAAACACCAAATAATAGGGCTGCTACAGGCGCGTTGAAGCTGCCAAAGCATACTTTGCGCAGTACTCCTGTACTGAACAGTTGTGTTTTTTGAGCTGGAGCTGCCAAATTCCATTTTGCATACTCCAATGTGACTTTAAGTGCACTTCGCGCACGCCAATGTGACGGTCACACAGCTCGCAACTCCTAATCAACGTTGAGCTTAACTTCTGCTTGGTTAGAATTTGCATGGAGTTGAGTGTCCAGAGTCTCAAGGCATTTGTTGCCCCCAGTCTGGCCAAAAATCTCAGTTCTGTCCAAAATCCTGAGTATTTCAAGGGGGGGGGTAGCATATATATATATATATACATATGTAAATATGTATTACCATGCGAAACCTTGGGGGTGATTTCCTGCGGCGCGTCCTGCAAGTGCGTGCTCCGTGTTCGGACTTGGCAGAACTGCACGAATGACACGCATCGCTCCCGAGGGGGCTGCACCTCACACGGAAGATGCCCTGCAAAGGTTGGAGCTACGCCGAGCCATGACGATGCTCCCAGCATCAAACATGCAACACACCCCATGCCTGGTGCTAAAACAGAATTACCATCAAACCTCGGTTGCTTTCTGCTCCCCTGCTAAAAAATTAGCTTTTAGTGGTTTAATGGAAAACCCACTAGTTGGCAAACAGCTAAAGTCCAAGCAAAATGCACCAAAGACCCAGTTGCTTGACACCACCCTCCTTGCCAATCAGACCGCCCCTTCATGCCCAGCAGCGCGTCCGGCCGCGGAATCAGCTGCAACTCGCCTTGATAAGGCGAATCACTCGATTGGCGAATCATCATGCCCAAAACATGGGACTCCCCGTAACAAAGACCCCTGGAATTAGGCCCTCTATGGTGGTATTTTTCTCTCAGATTCCGTGACTGTCCTCTATTGTGGCATGTGTTTTTGCCGGAAAAATTCAGTACAACAAAGTTGGCAAAAAAGGCAAGCAAGTCGGGCAAAAAACAGGCATCCAAATCCGGGCAAACATTGGGAAATCCCATTTTGAAGTGGTCCCCAAACCATCAAAGTTAAGATAACTGCTTTTCACATAAGTACGGGCCAACAGTCGCACAAACGGGGTTGGTTGCCCACACGAAGCCCTGATCCTCCTTAATGTGAGTGCTTTGAGGCCCCCATTTACTGTCCAACTTTTCTCGGCTAAAATAGAATTGGCCATGCTGAAGTAAGTTCCGGGGAATCTGAGAGTTAGTCTTGGCAATGCTAAGTTTAGACTTGGCAAAATTAAAGCGGGCTGAAAAAATAACCCAGTGGACAACCCTTGTGTCCTTATGCCCTAGTATCGGTCAGTACCGGTGTTTTCCCCAGCATCGCTTTGCAGTGTTTTGGAAGCTCTAGCTCGAATGTCGCGCAGCGCCAGCTGGAAAGTCGCAACTGTTCAGTACAAGTGTAGTACACAAAGTACATTTTGGCAGCTCTAGCTGGAAAGTCGCAACTGTTCAGTACAAGTGTAGTACACAAAGTACATTTTGGCAGCTCTAGCTGGAAAGTCGCAACTGTTCAGTACACGTGTAGCACACAAAGTACATTTTGGCAGCTCTAGCAGGAAAGTCGCAACTGTTCAGTACAAGTGTAGTACACAAAGTACATTTTGGCAGCTCTAGCTGGAAAGTCGCAACTGTTCAGTACAAGTGTAGTACACAAAGTACATTTTGGCAGCTCTAGCTGGAAAGTCGCAACTGTTCAGTACAAGTGTAGTACACAAAGTACATTTTGGCAGCTACATGTTTGAGTGTAGCAGGAAACAAACTGTTCAGTACACACAAAGTACAGTACAAGTGTAGTACACAAAGTACATTTTGGCAGCTCTAGCTGGAAAGTCGCAACTGTTCAGTACAAGTGTAGTACACAAAGTACATTTTGGCAGCTCTAGCTGGAAAGTCGCAACTGTTCAGTACAAGTGTAGTACACAAAGTACATTTTGGCAGCTCTAGCTGGAAAGTCGCAACTGTTCAGTACAAGTGTAGTACAAGTGTGTACACAAAGTACATTTTGGCAGCTCTAGCTGGAAAGTCGCAACTGCAGTACAGTGTCACAAAGTACATTTTGGCAGCTCTAGCTGGAAAGTCGCAACTGTTCAGTAAAGTGTCATTTTGGCAGCTCCAGCCTAGCAACAAAGTTTTCAGTACAACTGTGTAGTATACGCACACTTTGGCAGCTCCGGCTGGAAAGTCGCAACTTTTCAGTACAAGTGTAGTACACAAAGTACATTTCGGCAGCTCCAGCTCGAAAGTCGCAACTGTTCAGTAGTATACGCAGTACACTTTGGCAGCTCCGGCTGGAAAGTCGCAACTTTTCAGTACAAGTGTAGTACACAAAGTACATTTCGGCAGCTCCAGCTCGAAAGTCGCAACTGTTCAGTAGTATACGCAGTACACTTTGGCAGCTCCGGCTGGAAAGTCGCAACTTTTCAGTACAAGTGTAGTACACAAAGTACATTTCGGCAGCTCCAGCTGGAAAGTCGCAACTGTTCAGTAGTATACGCAGTACGTTTTTGCAGCTCTGGCTGGAAAGTCGCCAAATTTTCAGCACAAGTGTAGTACACAAAGTTCGTTTTGGCAGCGCCAGCTGGAAAGTCGCAACTGTTCAGTAGTATACGCAAGTACATTTTGGCAGCTCCGGCTGGCAAGTCGCAACTTTTCAGTACAAGTGTAGTACACAAAGTACATTTTGGCACAGCTGGAAAGTTGCAACTGTTCAGTAGTATGCGCAGTACGCTCCGGCTGGAAAATCGCAACTTTTCAGCACAAGTGTAGTACACAAAGTACATTTTGGCAGCTCCAGCTGGAAAACCGCAACTGTTCAGTAGTATACGCAGTACATTTTGGCAGCTCCAGCTGGAAAGTCGCAACTGTTCAGCCGTATACGCAGTACACTGTGGCATCTCCGGCTCGAAAGTCGCAGCCGTTCAGTGCAAATAAGTGTAGTATAGTGTGTGTACGAAGAACATTTTGGTAGCTCCAGTGCGGAAGTCGCAAGTTTTCACTACAAATGTAGTACTCCAAGTATATTTTGGCAGCTCCAGGGAAGGCGGCAGGGCAGCTGGTTGGATTCGGCATGGCGGCTAATGAGCTGGGTATCGGTTGGGCATCGGTTTGGGCCCTGCAAATTGATGTTTCCGCAATCTTGGTTTGCGACAACCACTTGGACCTGATGTGTGTCATCATGGCTTCTGGGGGTATCGTTTTTTCTTTCTCCACTGTATCGGTGTACAACGGTTTTGGCCTGCAAAAAAAGTTAAGGGATGGCCCCTTACATAGCGAAAAGGCGCGGGGTTGTGCTGGGGGAATCTGAGTTAGTCTTGGCAATATTAAATTTACAATTTGCGATGCTAAAGTAAGTGCGGGCGTCCAAGTCCCACCCACACCCCCAGGTTTCTCGCTAAAGAGGGCCGGCTGACTGGTTGCAGGGCACAGTAAAGAGGGTCCAACATCAGATGCATCCTGGGCCCCAGAAGTTTTGTTCTCATGGCCAGGCTCCGGAGTTCAAAAGGAGGAACCATTGCAGAAACTTCAAGACTTGATCTGCCACACCTACAGTTTATATGGAAACGCTTCATGAAACCGTGGCAGTTCTGGAGGCGCCAGAAACCGCTCCAGAACCCGGCTGGGAATGCTTCTTCTGCCGATGGAACGTCAGAAACTTTAGAACACCATCTTTGCTTAAGTGGAGACAACCGCGAAAACTTAGAGTTTGGCAGGTTCTGGCCGCGTCATGTCACTAGCTGCTCCTAGGACTCAAATGTACGTCATGGATGGATTGCCCCTTGTTTGGGGCTTCGAACAGGGTCCGTTTTGCTTCACAGTGAGACACTGTTTGCAAATATCGCGCACGAGCTCCGTGATATTCACAAGGAGGTTTCAGCCAGTCGGTACGCCCCACAAGGCCAGCCCAAGTCTTCGACCCCAGTCCGGCCGAGTCAAAGTCCCACCAAAAACGACCCGAGCAAACTTCTCACAAGCCCAGCCACTCCAACGTGTCTTAAAGAACATTAATGTTGACCCAGGACTAATAAACCAGTCCTTTATTGGGGGGGTGTTCCCCTAAAAGTGATGAATCCCCACTAAAAGGGGACATCCCCCTATTAATCAATCAGGGGGTTATTAATCCGGGGTTAACAATACTGGCAACATCACCCAAAGCTGACGTGCCCAATAACTAAAACCTTATGAAGCAAGCCTTAGTCTTTTGGGGATTCCCGCGAATCACGTGTGCCAGACGCGGAGGGTCTGCAACCATATCTTCGAACATGATTGCAACGGCTGGCGATCACTACGGCACAACCCCCCTCTGCAATCATTTCAACGGGAGGGGGGAATCGCGTGTAGGAGATCATTTAACCAGTCAGCTCACAGCCTTCCATTCCCACATCCTTGACTCGTCCTTCCACCGGCAAATGCCTGGGTCCTCTTGTTATCTTTTCTTATCCTTTCCCTCAGCTCTCTTCGTGGCGTTGATTGCTCCTCTCAACATGGGCCACGTGGGTTTCTCAAAAGGCTCAAGCCACGAAACTCCGCGGAGAAACCCCAGAGGTTGCCACATGTTGCCACCAGGGAGCCAGTTTGCGAGGCGGGATCCTCGGTGCTGACGCTGCTCCCCGCGCCAATCTTGAGGCCTGGCCAGAAAATGCGCGGAGAGTCGGGGAACTTTTTGCGGAGAAATGCCTCGGGCTTTCGCAAAAGCAGCGTTTCTAGTAGCGCATGGAGGAACCTGTGCGCCCCAGAATTCCAGCCCACAAGCAAACTCCGGGCAAGCTGCACGCAAACTCTGAGCTATCTCTTTTGACCACGCCAGCAAAAAACACAAAACTTACCCCTCAGCCGCCCACCATCTCCCAAGCTAAACTGATTTCTCATACCTGCAAAGTCCGTGGCTACGCTGTAAATCCCTTTGCAGCCAGCAAAGCACCAGCAGCCTATGCGAACGGAACTGCCAACCCCAGACCTATACCTTAGTGCCCCCACACCTGAACCCCAGAAAAACCAACCTTCGACGCCAGAACAGAGTGACCCCGTCCCACAACCCCAAGCCAGCCAGCAAGCTGCACCCCCAGGCGAGGCTGGGGCTTGCATTTTGGGCTGGATGGCCTTTAGATTTAAATGGATTGATTCTTAAATCGAGGCGCAGACCTCGCACGGGCTTTAATGTTAACCCCGGATTAATAAACCCTTGGTTGATTAATAGGAGGGTGTCCTCTTTTAGCGGGGATTCATCACTTTTCAAGGGGACACCCCCTTAATAATGGGACGGGTTTATTAATCCTGGTCAACATTACCAGGAATTGTGCGACAAAAGTGGCAATCGCATTTCCCCCGCCTTCTTGGGCCATGGGGACCACGGACAGCTCGGAGCTCCACGACACAACATCTGTGAAGTCGCCGTCTCCGCTGCAACGTCGCTTTGCCACCCGCGCGGTGCCGCCATCCTAGCGTGCTCCAGGGCATCCATTTTAAACTGGACAAGGTCTTTCGTTCGAGTGTGAGAAGTGCGCTGTGCAGAGCGTGCTCTCCAATCCATTTTTCTGGCCCACCCGATGACCTTGGAAGAAAAACAATGGGCGACCTTACCCAAAGGTTGTGCCGGAGCCAGGCTGTCGTTTTCTTCCAAACCTGGGTATGGCCTCTGTTGTGGGATTGGCTCTGTGAGGAAGCCCGTGGTCGCATCACTTCGACGCAGTCTCTGTCACACACACACACACCCTCTCACTCCCTCTCACACGCACAAATTGCACCCCGAATTCAGTAAGACCCAAACTTGGGCCAGGTCCCGATGAAATAGATAGATCTTCCAGCTGCAAACAATTGCAAACATGTGGACGAGATTCTGAGGATGTGCTGGTGGTGTAGGGTGGGGGCGGAGGCGCACCAAGGGGAATCGAAGGACTATTGGAGAGCCCCTTGTACAAACAAAAATGTCTTCGGAATCAATACAGGATTCCTCAGGCTTGAAAACCCGCCCTCCTGCTGGGCAAAGGGAGGGGGCAATGACCACGAGCTAGCCACAAAAGACCAAAAAACAAAACAAAAAAAACTGGACCACGCGCAGCGAATGCCACAGTTGCGCTGTCCTTCTCCTTGGTCGCCACCGTGAAAACGCAGGTTTCCTGCATCTTCCGGCTCTTCTGCCGCAGCCACAGGGATGCGGAGCCCCCCACGTGCCCCTCGAGCTTGCTGACCATTTGTGGAGCAGCCTGGGCCATGGCACGCAGTCAAGCAGTCAGTCAGCCTGAGCACAAAAACTGCGGGATCCAGTCAATCACAGCCATCTCGGGGGAACTTAATTATGCGAGGACTTCCCACAAGGCTTCTTCCGTTCAGCTTGGTTGGGCCAGAATGGTGGGGCCATCTGTTGGGAGAGACACGCTACACACAAACAAGCTGCGCTCCAAACTCCGCCCGCGTTGCACGCGGGCGACGCCCGCAAAAAGCTCAGCTGGAGCCCGAGGAGTCCAACATAGTCCAACTGTTCAGTTTCGCAAGCTGAAGTCGACGTAGGAGGAAACACCAATGTACCATTTGTCCTTTGATAGGGGGGAGCTGGAGAGGCTGGAGTTGAATGAACTCACATCAAGCAAGACCGTCCCCTGGCATTGGCCAGCGGTGCGGTAAATACATCGTGGAAGCAAACTCTGTTTGCGCGAAGATTTGAAGAGCAACAACCAACACCAAGGGACCAAGGGAGTCAGCAACATGATGTTTGAGGGGTGCACATCTAGACTGCAGAATCTGCAGATTTGCGCTGCGCGTCGGATCCGCCGAGCCTGCCAAAAGAGGAGGGACAGGAGCTGACCTCCTGGGCGCATGAAAAAGCAAAGGCGCATGAGAGCGCAGTTCGTTCACAAAGGGAAACCCTGGGGAGTCCCAGAAATCCAAGGAACCGGCCGTTGCTACCCTCCTGCAAATGGAAGTGGACAGGGGACCTGAAGACGCTAATCTTCATTCAACCCTGTTGGGCACTTCCATGTTTGTTGGAAACCAGGCAAATCATCCAGCCGATTGCTGAGGAGAGGACTCACTTTGTAGTTCTTTTGGTGCCGTTGGCGGGTAGCCACCAGTTGCTGCACCTTTTGTGGGGAAGACTGTTGACAGGCCCGTCTGACATATGCAACAAGATTTGCTCGTCTCCGGGTTGTTCTGCCCAATTTTATTCCTAATCCGCAATCCGTAGTCGGACGCCTCTGCAACAAGGGAAAGCACTACGGTAGATCTGGCGTAAAGAGTAGGATTGACTTTGAACAACCCAGCTTGTTGGTCTACACCAGGTTTCTCGTTGCACTTGAGGGCTGATTTTGCCTGGATTCTGGTGCAAATAGGCTTAACCTCGCCAGGTTGTCAAAGCCAGACCTAGGCCTCTCCAGCAAAAGGCTGGCTATGCCAACAGAGCCTAATTCTCCCCAGAAATATCGTCCTTTTCTGAAGTTGACACTGGGTTGACAATGCCCGGGTTGAGTTTGATCGGGGACCTCCCCCCCAAAAAAGGAGAGAACAAAAGATAACAGACACGTGGGAAAGACCCCGAATGCGATGTGCTCAGTGCGCCAAAGAACCAGCGATTGCCGCGGGCGCGGGCGGCATGCCGAAGCTTCCAGCTGGGAAACATGACTGATGTCACCTCGCTGCAACGAAAAACACGCTCACCCCTCGTGGCTTCATCCCGCTGCTGGGTGCGCCTGCCAAAAGAGCCATGGATAGAGCACGTATCCAGGCGAATGGTACTTCACCAAGCTGAAAAATGGACTTCGGAAAGAAACCTTCCTGAGTGAGGTCGCAACCTTCTCCCCGTTGTGAAGCTCCAGTTTCCCCGAACTATGCACCAGTGCAGGCAAGGCTCTTGGCAGACACAGGACTGGACTATGAGGGTGTTGCTGCCTGGCGCGGCCGGAACCCTCGAGACGAATCCGACAAGGTACGTGCCCCAAGCCGTTGGCGACCCCGACTACATTTTTTGCTGAGTTAGCTGGTGTTTCCTTGGCTAAAATGATGAAGACGCCTATCAACAACTCGGAGTTTGCCAACTCAACGGGTATTGCGACGCTCTGAGAGGCATAGGTCGCTTCCCCGTGTCCAACAGAATTCCAAATGCTTCTTATCATGATGAAAGTTTAGCATACTCAAAATGGGCATTCGCCATTTTATCGCCTTTTCGCGCAAATCCAACCATAACCCTCTAAAATGGGAGATCCCCTATTCATTGCCTCGGAACGCGTTGCTGGTGAAGCCCAACTCAGCAGCTCACAGCCTCTGACAGGATATCAGGGGGTACCAAGTGGCTGGCTTGATCACTTGATGGCTTGCTTCCTGCATAAAATGGAATGGCCTTTGAACGCTGCAAATAACGTCGGGCTTTGCTAGAACTTTCATGTTCCAAGAGGAGCAAGCGTTAAAGGCCGGACCAAACGCCCAAGTCAACCGAATTTACTGGATCGCCCCGGGGCGAGGATCCAACCCGTCCTTTTTAGGACCCATAGGAAGGCACGATGGAGGTCAAAACACATGGGCTGAAAAGCAGCAGCCGCCCCCAGGCCCCCAGCCACGCCTGTGTCTGCCACGAGGTCAAAGCTTTGAGGGGGCGTCCCCACCTGTCGGCTGCGCTTTGACCCTTTCAGAAACAAAACTAACTTTCTTACTGATTCTCAGCAGGGAATGAGGGAATGACCGCAGGTTCATTTCGAACACCCTGGCTCATTCCCCAGTGAGCACCAGCAAGTTGTTGGGGGGTGACTTGGAAGGTGTTGTGCGACGCCCCACAAAACGGATGCCAAACATTTGACATCCCCTTGGCTACATTTCTGTCCTTGCCACGCTCGGAAGCGCAGAGCTTTTGGCACATTCCGCCAGCCATTCGGAGAGAATTTCAAAAGATTCATCGCGTTTCCCCGGTTCCGTGGGCAAGTCAAAGAACTTCTGAACCGCCGGATTCACAGTTGCAGCACCACTCACCTGGGCAGCACCACTCACCAAACGCAAAAAAGGTGCCCTCCTTAAGCCTTCGAGCTCATTAATGATTGCCGTTTGGCCTACGGAACTCCCATGGCATTTCCCTCATGCAGTAGATCAGATTTGGCCCCCATGGAAAGACCTAGGCTGAAATAGACACCCAGTAGAAAAAACTGTGTAGCCTTATACATATACCATAGTATCTCTATGGTATAGTATCGGTGAGTATTGTTGTTTCCTCAGCAACGGTCTGCAATGTCTTGGGGGCCACGAGTAGCTAATCTCACTATAAGTCGTTGACGTTGCAACGTATCGCGCATAGGAAAAGCAGGCAGCAGGCTCGTTTAACGTGTTTCGAAAGCAGCTTCGGGCTTCAGGAAGGGGAACTCAAGGAGTTGGCGTGAATAGAAACCAAAGACATGGGGTGCTACCGGGCAAGTAGGTGGATTTGGCGGCCATGAGTATCGGTTAGGTATCGACGGAGTATCGGTTTCAGTAAGTGTCCGACTCCAGAAGCTCGGTTTAGCAACAATTGCGGTCTTTGTCCATGCCTTGTATAGCTTCCTGACAACGCAGCGTGCAGCTCACAAGAACCCAAGACTAATCGAGCCAGTTGTGTCTTCATGGTTTGGGGGGTATTGAATGTTGTTCCCCCTTGGCATCGGTTTACAACGGTTGCGTTTGGCCTGCAAAACAAGTCAAGGGACAGCCCCGTACAGAACGAACAGGCGCGGACGCCGAGGCCGGGCGTCGAACAAACCAAATTGCCTGAACCTCCACAGTGGAGAAGATGTCCCGGTTCCTGGCTGATGAGCTTTCCGTGTTGCCAGCTGCCTAACAATACCAAAAAAGGAAATCAACAGTGGCAACCGAAAAGCAAAGCTGGATCTTTTGGCGGGAGCTGCATGAAACGTGCTGGAGCTATCTAGGTGAAATCCCTTTCAACCTTCCATGATGTTATGGGTGTGCAACAGACTGGCTGTTTTCCCTTTGGCTTCCTTTAATATCAATGGTCTCAAAAAGGTCATACTCGATAGAGAACCCTGCATGCTCATAGTGCAGGCTTCCCTTGGAGCGTTCGCCCGCGTCAAGGCTGCCAGAGATTTCATCACCCATGCCACCCCTCAGAGTCAGCGTGTGTTACCAACGGACCGGGGCAGGACCCAAACATTAATTCCGCCCCGGGCAGTGCCTGGGGGAAAAGCAACTGACGTCTGCAGTTAGTATCAAAACCGATCCCTGAATCACTTGCTATCATTCACCTCTCGGAACCGCCGTGACTTCGTGCCCAAATGCTCAGACCATCTCCCCGAACTGGGAAATCGTGGCTCCCCCCTCTTCATGCTGCATTTCCCTCACAAAAGAGACAATGTCACGGTCACCTCGTATCCCCAGTGACAGGGAAAGCCCGCAGCTCGCCCCGAGCTCGAAGCGCCCGGCCTTAAGGGCGCGCAGGATCGCGCTTGGCCATGGTAGAGCTGTGCAGCCTCGCTCAGCCAGTGGCCACGAGCCCCTGACAAAGACACGCTTTCCTCATTGGCGCTCGGGGTGACTGTTCGCGAAAAGGGAATGACGCAGAGTCAAACACGAAGACACTTTGCCTGGGGCTTGCTCTCTCTCAAGAACAATTCAAGTCAAAAGGACCGGGCTTGCCTAGGCCCAATAGCCTCCTGGCTCAAGATTTCCTACCAGGCAACCAGCTTCCAGACATCTAAATGGAAACTTGGCATGCTTGGTCTTAGGGGGAGAAGTTGTCTAAGTACGTATGCTTACCTTTCTGGAGAAAGCCGACAACATGTGGCCCGTGAATTGGTATTTCCCCTAATCAAAATCACAGAGGTCCTCCCCTTCTTGGCATTTGATCTCTTCGTGCTTCTGCTCATTGGAAGTTGGAAGTTGGGGCAGAGTGCCCTGCTTTTGCTGGAGATGGTGCAAATTGAAAGACAGGCTAGGCTCACCACGAAGCTGTAGCCCTGAAAAGAGGTTTGCACGATGTTCAAATTAAACGCGAGAGCGATGCTACGCTATGCTACTCTACATGTAAAAGCAGTCAACCAGAAGCCTAGGATGGTCGAGGGCGCTCCGTCCCGCCGCACGTCTTGACATACCGGGTGCCCAGGCTGTCACAATCAGGGAGAGCAGCATCGCCACATGGACAAGGTGAAGCACCTTTCCAAAATGGATTGCCGCCCAACTGCACCAATCAGCACTTGGGAGCTCGCTCTACCCCCAGGTGGCATGCTTCTTCATGACTTGCATGCCCTCTCGTGACGGGCAGCCACAAGCTTCACTTGAACTGCCCTGCAAGAAATTGTGAGGTGCTGGGTGATGACCCGAAAGTTGCACCAGTTGAGGGGGAACCCTTTTTGAACAGCCATGAAGCTGGCCATGCTTGATCTGTTGTAACACATTGAAAGTTTGAATCATAGAGCAGTTCCAAGCCGGGTCCCCTTGCCACCGGATACCCGAGTATGGGTGATAGCACCAGGATTCAAGCAGTCAACATGAGGGCCTCATGAGCACTCGACTGGCCAGACGTAAGACGGAAGGGGGCTAGCAAGGACAGGGGATGATTGCCAAACAGCATGCGATATTCTGACTATTTCTGACATGCTCGCGGCGCTCTTAGCCCAACTCACCCACGGAGAGTCGCCAACTCGCGCGAACTTATCGAAGCGTTCCCGTTTCCAGGGCAGCTGTTTGATTTTGAAGGTGGCCTGCTGGTTGCTCAACCCAGTTCCAAGCTCGGCAAACGTACAAAGCCCTGCGCACATCACACGGCTTAAACCGACCCGGATCACAAATAGATCCCACAAGCTAACAAAGTAATATGCAGTTATTCGGCAGCTTCAACCTCACGCAAACCAGCACCATCATGACCGTAGAAACTGCTGTGATGCATATTTGACCGTCCTTCGGAATTCTGCTGATTGCCCGAATGACTGCCCCCAATTTTGCGGATGGGTCATGAAGGAATCTGCACAAAGCAACCGCCCCTGACTGCATTTTCACCCCGGAGGTTGCCCTGTCCGCCCGGACGACCAAGTCAGGCGGAAGGTGCTTGCGGCTGAGGCCCACGCTGCCCGACCCAGCAGTTAGTCGAAAGACTGAGGGTTTTAAAGTGGGCTGCAGCCAAAGGCGCGGAGGCGACAACACAAGGTCAAGCAGAGCGGGCAAGCTCGAAGTGGCGAGATTCCGTGCACTTAAAGAAAAGGGACTAGCTCAAATGAACGCCCCGACCGACTCTCCGCTGTTGCCCCCTGACAGACCAGCAGTATACTTGGTGATTGCATGCTTTACCTACAAGGCTAATACGTTCGGCAGAAATTCGCTGGAAATTCGGGTGGGTATCACCAAATTTGGCCACGGCCCCAGCTTTTGCGAATGACAGCCAGTGACAGCGTCCGCGAATCAAGTTGTTCAGTGGGCACTTTTTGGGATTGACCATTTTAGTGAGCACCCTTCTCAAGGTAAAGCTGCCAAGGGGCCCGATAGGGTTTCCCCAACCCCGGTAGGTGCTACCAGACTCATAGGGCGGGGTTCCACTCGGGGGGAGGCACCTGACAGAAGCTAAAGACGCTACCCCCCAAACCAAGGCCCCCGCAAACTCCAGAGACCATCCCGCTCTTTCCCCGAGTTTCCTTAAGTTGCGGACCATAGCCTATGCTGCAAAGACGCAAGAAAGGCAACCATTTTGGGGGGTTCCGACTTTGGCACACCTTCCCATCCCCCGCCGGCGGGCTGCAAGGCCCGCAACCTCTGAGCTCGAATCCAAGCGTTGGACACCGTTGCCCTTGTCGAAGGATGGCCGCCCACCTCGAGCGAACCAGGAATTTGGAGTAAGGGAGTCGTGGCAGTGATGATTTTTGAAAACACTGTGGGAAACTGGTGTGTCCGCAAACTTTCATGCCACGCTTTGGTGTGTCAGCCAGCTGCCTGCAGGCAGCATGTTTGTCTTTTCGCTACATCCTCCCTCAAACATTGCAAAGGATGGCAGCTTCGCTCTTCTCGGTCAAGGAATGCCCGAGGAGGTCTAAGAATGTAAGTACAACAAACATGCCTGTGGGTGCTGGTTTCCAGAATGGTGCCATAATATGAACAAATCTTGGAGTTTTGACAAATTTGACAAGCAGGCTCCGAGGTACAGCAGAGAGCAGTAAGCACTTCACTAGGAGTTCAGCCATCCACACAGTGTGTTCCACTCTAATATTAACCCCGGATTGATAAACCCCTGGTCGAGTAGAAGGGGGGTGTCCCCTTTTAGCGGGGATTCAATCACTTCTGGAGGGAGCACCCCCCTAATAATGGGACGGGTTTATTGCCTGTTTCCCGCCAAGCCCGACAACGGAACCGCAAGCGCAAGCAATTCAAACCTTCGAACCTCCCCAATGTCGCAAAGCGAAGGAAGCCCCCGGGGCCCCAACCCAGGCCAATTGATATTCAACCATCAGCAAAGTGAAGAAAGCTTTCAGGGGCTCTTTGAAACATCCACCACCAGCCATCGGGCGAGGTCTTCCTTGGCCCCCGGCCCATCACCCGAGGAAAGATCTCCATATCCGTGCCTGGCGCCGCCGGGTCACGACCCGTCAAAACCCAACGCGGCAGTGACGCGGTCCTGGATCCACCGTGATGGATCATCGATGTGCGCGAACGGCAAGTTGGATGCTCTTCGTGGCGAGCCGTTCAAAGTGCATAACTGCCCTGCTCAAACTAGATTAGTTGGGTAGAAGGCAAATGGCAATAACAATGAAGCAGCAGGCTTTGGACATTCCTGCCAGGGCAACAACGTGGTTCATCACCAAAACACGTCACGCGGCCCTTGCAAAGTTTGCAATCGGTCACATCCCGAACACCGAGGCATCAAACCACCGCAAATTCACTGAGCGACTTGAGAAAGGCCAACGTGTCACATCGAACATGCTTTTGCTTTGGAAAGCCGGACCAGGCGGCGCCCCGCGTTTTTCTTTTGTGCACTGAGCCCGCGCACCGGTATCGTGGAGGTCTAAGCCTGGCAGGGCTTGGAACCAAAAGATTGCATGGGAAGCCTTTCAAAGCCACATGCAGAAGCAGAAGTGGCAACAAGCACAGGCCTCAAACAACAAAGGTCAAGCGGTTTGCGGGCACACGCCATCTGGGTGCTACAAAGGAGGGCGTCCTGTTGGGCAGAAAGCTATTTAAAATGGCTATTCAACGCCCAGCCCGGAAAGAAGCACAGTACTACAGAAGAACCTATCATTTCTTTGAGGCCTGTAGGGGTGGCCCAAGGATCCAGTAGCATTCAGCGGTTCTCCGGAAGGCCCCACCATAAACTCAGCAAACACGTCAATGAACAACAGTTCCGAAGCGTTCAGCAACCTGCACACAAGAGTGAACAAGAAACGGAGGAGTAAAATTCCTTGTCGATATTGTGCACGGAGATGCAAATTCAGGATGAAACATGCTCAGCAAGAAGCAACTTTCCGGAAACCGAATGGCCATCCGCGAGACTACGAGCAACAAAGCGCCTGTGCCGTCCGGGTCCAGCTCCTCCTTCACCTTGGGGCATGTCGTTTGGCATCTTTGTTGAGGCCATGGGACACGCGCTACAGGGAAACTTAGTGGGCAAAACAAATTCTTGGCTCCCCCACTTCTAAGACACTCCCATTTGGCATGACTGAGTTGAATCAGGTGGACGGAATCATCTTTGCCTGCGTGATGCTTGAAGGAATCTCGCTAGCGGATTTGCTCCCTGGCTTGCTGAAAAACTGCTCAGCCGATTTTGTTCATCTCGAATCTCGCGGCTTCCATTTCTCAAGTCGAGCGACCGCAGAATTACTGGAACTGCGGGGCGCCTGTGGCCTCTGATGTGCCTACAAACTCTGACCTGCTGTGTTTGGGGGCTTCCGCCTATGCCCAAGGCCTCAAAAATAATCCGTTCTCCCCAGATCTTTCTTTCCGCTTCGCAGGCTGCAGGCCAGTAGCGGCTGGGTTTTTGCTTTTTTCTTTCGTGGTGCATTCAAAGCACCGAAACACACATCACAGGTCCCCGGTGCTTCTTTAGGGGATGGCGAGTCTGGTGAAACAATCAAGTGTGAGAGGGTCACTCACGATTCAATTCGCCCAGTACTTTGCTGGGCCCATGACTTTTCACGGTTAGAGGTGCTCAAAGTCAGAAATTCCATAGAACCCACGCATCAAGATCACTTCGATTGTAAAATCATGGGCCCAGAGGGACCACGATCCCCGTTTTTGGATTTCCTATCCCGACAAAAAGGGACACCCGCTGGATAGGTTGGGTTAAACCGACCCCCAGCTGCATACAGTTCCTTGCCTAGGGGTCCTTTGCAACAAAAAGAGTCAGGGGCGAAACCCGTGCCATCGATGTTGACTGAAACTGACCCCCCCAAAAAAAAACGCCGTGGATGGACGAAATCCTGCAACATGCGGGATGGCTGAAACCCCATAGGTTTAACACAAGAAACACTTTGACAAACCGCCTATCAACTGATGAGAAGAGAATCTCGTCCATCAACAGTAGGGGCAGGGAGTGTGAAACTGTAATGGCAACATTGGTGTGTCTTCCAGCAGCCTCCCCAACAAGACGCTTTCCTCAAAACCCACAAAGGTATCCTCAAAGAAGACACGCCCATATCATTGTGGGAAAGCACCTTTGTGGTCCGGTTCAATGAGTTCAATGACCAAAAACCAACCTAACCTTCAATCAGCTTCCCTCTAATTGGTGATTTGGATTGGTGGTTTGGTGGCTCCATTCACCCACAAGAACCAGGGAAAAAAGGAAAAGAGCACGAGCCACCCCTCCCCAAACAAAAACCCTCCTTCCCCCCCCCTAAACCCCCCCAAAAAAAAGAAAAGCGGGTCCTTGAGCCCCAGCCTCCAATCTGCTTTTTCCCCCACAGCTGCAGGCTAAGGGGTCTTAGCCCAAAAAAGGCTTGGGTGGTCTGCAGGCCTAAGGTTCCAGGAAGGGTTCCAGGGACGCATGCGCTGTTTGGCCTCGGGCGCCCGGGCCCTGCGCACCGCCGCCATGAAGCGCCGGCTCTCGGGTTCCGGCACGGTGCCCGCCTTGCACCGCCGCCGCCAGTTTGGAGGTCTCAATGGGAAGCCACCCCGAACTAGTAGACTCCTTCTGGACCGCTCCCATCCGTTCCACAGGAGTTCTCAAACGGGCCCCATAAAAGGGTAGACTCCTTCTGGACCGTTCCCCCCCAACTTTGCCGCCAAAAGGAGTTCACCAGATCGAGAAAACAAGTAGTCCGAAACTTTCCGTTTGGGTTGCCCTGGTGCCCTGGGTTTTGGATCCTTCGAGGTCCTCTTTTAGACACTCCCAGATTCCAAATCTGCCTCGGCTTTGGCCCAAAATGAAATGTCATGTTCTCGGCCTATATTCGGTGAACGTGATGCTCACCCGGCCGCGGGTGAGCGAAAGAAACACGCCAGGCATCTGGCAGGGTCGTTGCGCGCCATGGTCACCTGACAGAAAAACAGGCAAGGCATGGGTCTGGGTTGATGATTGAAGGAAAGCAAAGGCGCCGCACGCACAACAGTTTCTTAGACCCGTAGAAGGGCTTCCTAAAGGGGCTCTAAAAACCTTCCCGGGAGCATGGGGATCCTAGGGCTGATCCTTGACCCGCTGCTTAACCTTCCGTTTCGCCAAAAGGTAAGGCTAAATGCCAGATCAGAAAGCAGCCAATACTGTAGGGCACTCCTTTTCAGAGGCTTTAGAAGCAGCACCACATGCAACATTTGGTAAACATGCCTGAAGGGATGTGGCAAGTGAAACCGGCTGCCCACATGGTCTGATTGTTGCCAGACCCCCCGCATTAACCATTCTAGCCGATTTTTTGCGCACCACCCGACCACTCTTCGCACCCAAGCACGCGCACGCACAAGCACCAAACCAAAAATAGCACAAGCACGCACAAACACAACACTATCACAAGAACGCACACCAAACTCAGTCACAAACACAAGCACAAACAACAACAAGCACGCACGCACATACACGAACACGGGCAGAAAGAACAGCACACACGCACACAAAATAGCAGAAACACAGACACAGGCACTCGCACATACACAAGCAAGCATGAACAAAAGAGCAGATGCAAGCACAAAAACGCAGACGCAAGCACATACACAAACAGAAGTGCCAACACCAGCCCAAACACAACTAAAAGAAGCAATCACACAAACGCAGGTACAGGCACAAACAGAAGCACATACATTGTACAAACACAGGAACGCAGAAACATGTACAAACACAAACGCAAGCAAGAGGGCGGGCATAAGCACAAACGCAGACGCAAGCACATGCACAACAAAAGTGCCAACACCAGCCCAAACAGCAACTAGAAGAAGCAGGGACACAAACGAAAGCACAGGCACAAGCACAAACACAACCAACAGCACGAACAGAAGCATATACATTGCACAAACGCAGGCACGCGAACATGCACAGACACAAACACAAGCAAAAGGGGGCAGACACAAGCACACCGCATACGCAAGCACACACGCAAACACACAAACACTGGCAAACACCGGCGCAAAGAAGCGAGAACGAAAAGGAAAGCACATACACAAAAACACAGGTGCAAAAACAAGAGCCAACTGCATTCGAGCAAGCAAGCCAGCAAGCCGGCAAGTCAGCAAGCAAGCAGACAGAAAGATAGACAGACAGAGAGACAGACAGATTGCCAGACAGATAGACACACGCCGTCGCACCAACAAACAGGCAAACAGACAAACAAACAAACTAGCAAAGCAAGCAAGCAAGCAAGCAAACAAGCAAGCAAGCAAGCCAGCCAGGCAAGCAAGCCAGCAAGCCAGCAAGCCGGCAAGCAAGCAGACAGAAAGATAGACAGACAGAGAGACAGACATATTGCCAGACAAATAGACACACGCCGTCGCACCAACAAACAGGCAGACAGACAAACAAACAAACTAGCAAAGCAAGCAAGCAAGCAAGCAAAAAAGCAAGCAAGGCAGCAAGCAAGCAAGTAAGCGAGCGAGCGAGCAAGCAAGCAAGCAAGCAAGCAGACAGACAGACAGACAGACAGACAGATGATAGGCACTCGCACCCATACCAACAAACAGGCAGACAGGCAGACAAACAAACAAGCAAGCAAGCAGAGTGACGGACAGACACACAAACACACTCAGACCAACAAACAGGCAGACAGACAGACAGACAGACAAACAAGCAAGCAGACAGACAAACAAATAGACAGACAGACAAATAGACACACGCACATGCCAACAAACAGACAAACATAGCACAAACAAAAGCACAAAGAGAAACTCGCCACATACCCCAGAAACCCAAGAACCACCGACTCAACCCGCCCGCCCACCCGCTTCAAGCCTCCCCGAACTTCCGCTGGAGCCCGGAGCCGAGGCCCAGGAACTTGGTGTTGCCGGGCCTTGGCTTCGCAGCTTCACGCCGTGGTGTGTGCCGGGCTACGCCGAAACTGATGTGTTTTGGTTTGTGCTTTTTAATTGTTCTGTTTCATGTTTTGCCAACTCAAAAAAGAAAAAAAAGATGCGTCTGTGTCTTTTCTGAGATCAAACATTTGGGCTTTGCAATGACTGGCTGTTCCGGTCCTAGCGGCAAAGGTGGGACAATCCCACTACCCACTACCAATCATTACCATAAGCCTGCGCAACACGGCCGTTCTGCATGTTTTGTTTGTGTTCAATCGGTGGATCCTAAGGTATCCATGGCGGAGTGCTAGGTGGGTTGGTTTGAAGAAGAGGGCAAATGACCACCTATCACATTTAACCCAGGACGATTGGTCAGCATCTGCCACCATTGTGAAAATAACCTGTCCCCAAGAGTGCTTGTTCACTTTGGTTGCAGGATGTCCCTTGGGCTTATATCACGCGGCCCTGAATGCACGGCCATGAAATGCCAGCGTTGCAACACCGCCGCGCAGTGTCAAGCCCATTGTCTTTCCCTAAGTAAACAGGACCAAGAAAAAAATGCATTTCATAAAGGAATATCTACTACGAAAAGGATCCTTTAAATGCCAATAGTAGTTTTGGGCAACTCATCTGGGGCTATGGCTTGCTTTGGCAACTGTTTGAAGAGTTTGTCGCCAAGGGAGCGGTGCTTTGGGCATGCGAGGTCGTAAAAGCTTGGCCATGGGCTGTCAGCGCATGGTCGCCAGTTTAGGATGTCGATCCGCGATTGATCCACCCGGTGGATCTTTTTGAGGGGCATTCCCCCCAAACATGTTCAAAAGTGAAGGCTGCCCTCCAACATGGGATGCCCTCTCCCTATCAATCAACCAGGGTTGTGTTCGTCCTGGGTTCCCTTTGTGTACGGTAGCCTCGCATTCATTACGTGCCAGTTTCAGAAAGCTTCCGCACGGGTCAAGCTCAATGTGGCTGCGGGTTGCTTTCACCCACACGACGGCAAAGACGGGTAGAGCCTCAAGTCCTGAGAAAAAAAGGGAAAAAAAAAGCGAAACCAAAAAACAACAGCAACATAAAACCACAGCACAGCCAACCACAAACTAAAGCACAACCAAAACAAAGTCAAAACCAAAGGAAACTAACTAAACACAACCAGAACAATGTCAAAGCAAAGAAAACTAACTAAACACAACCAAAACAAAATACAAACCAAAGGAAACTAACTAAGCACAACCAAAACAAAGTCAACACCAGAGGACACTAATTAAACACAACCAAAACAAAATACAAACCAACGGAAACTAATTAAACACAACCAAAACAAAATACAAACCAAAGCAAACAAGCTAAACAAACAACCAAAACAAAGTCAACACCAAAGGAAACTAACTAAACACAACCAAAACAAAGTCAAAACCAAATGAAACAAACTAAACAAAACCAAAACACAGTCAAAACCAAAGGAAACTAACTAAACACAACCATATCAAAGTCAACACCAAAGGAAACAAGCTAAATAATCAACCAAAACAAAGTCAACACCAAAGGAAACAAGCTAAACAAACAACGAAAAAAAGTCAACACCAAAAGAAACAAGCTAAACAAACAACCAACACAAAGTCAACACCAAACGAAACAAGCTCAACAAACAACCCAAAAAAGTCAACACCAAAGGAAACTAACTAAACAAACAACCAAAACTAAGTCAACACCCAAGGAAACTAACTAAACACAACCACACGCGCCTGGGCCCCTGGGTCTTGGCCGTTCCCAAGGCTCCGGCTGCTGGCACAATGCCAGTATCCTCCGATGCAGCTCCTCGCATTCGGGTGAGTCGGGTGGAGGACAAGAGGACGCCGGCCTATTTGGGACAATTCACCCACTGGAGGTGCTTGGAATAAGACAACTTGCCTCTTCAAGGAATCCTCAGTTGGCGTCCAAAAAGGGAGGGCCTGAACCTACCCATGGGATGGTGACATATCCGCCCACCAACAATATCCAACAAAAATCCACTCACGAGCCACTCTGTCAGCTGAACCTTGTTGGCTATCTCTGGGTGCACCAGAAGCCCTTGCAACCAAGCCGACTGTTGGCCGCTCGCAACACTGCATAAGGCCAACTGGCCCTCGACGTGCTTGGCTCCAAGCCAAGCATGTGGCCATGATAGAAAAGCCCCATTTAAGCCAAAGTGGGGTTGTCCTCAAAATGAGAGAGGAGCCACAAGATCGAGAAAACAAGAAGAACCAAAACGTTCCTAAGCTGATACAGTCCCGGTGTCGTTTGGGGCACTGATGTTCAAAACAACTGCCCCCCACCTGCCAGCCAGCGCTGAACAAGCTGCTTTTTTTTAACAGGCTCAGCGGGACAAGTCGAAGAGCAATCACACCAGCTTGAAGCGAGGGAGATGTATCTGCCAGGAAGGCGTGCCAACACGAAGCTCTGCAAACCCTCGGGGCCGAATGCCAACGCGTGCTCGTAGACCAATGTGCTTGCCATGCAAATCTCTGAAACTCCTCCACGAGCTCGCGCTGCCTCAGCAGAAGCACAAAGGCAGAAATTGGGGGCCCGACAATATGATAAAGGCGCCAGATATCTGCAAGTGTACGTGTCATGGCATCATCGACATCATTCGTGCCCCCACTGTGTGTAGAGCAAGTTCGGAAAGATTCGGAGATAATCTTGCGAATTCCTTGCAACCCTGCTCCGTCTGGATTTGCCCCCACTCCGTGCTTGATTTGATGCGCATGGCCTTGGTCAAACCCAAACTGGTTGCTCTCGTTCAGACGGAGATGTTTCAGCCGGTGCTAAGCTTAGCCTCGGACTCTTTAGGCAGCTCCTCTGCTTCCAGCAGCTGCTGCGTGGCATCCTCGGCAGAAATTGCCAGAAAAAAGATCAAAGGCTGATTGTATAGGTCCACGTATGAACCCATGACCATTTTGGACCCTTTCAGCTGCTTTCCCATAATTAAGCCAGAACTAACGTTCACCCGTAGACTAGGGGTTCACACCAGAGCCTCATATATGGGCGTGTGCATTCAGCCTTAGGGTCCATGTGGGGCGGTTCATGGTCCTTGTCAACACCTCAAGAGCTTATAAATGGCTATCGTAGAACAAATCAAATTGTGTGCTGCCTACTGCTGGAGCAAGGGTAGGCTAAGTCTGATGTGACCCCCAGTGTGCCGAATGTGGGAAGCCAAGACGCGCCCTACAAGCCGAAAAGGCCTCAGCCTCCCTCCAAATTTGCAGTAAGACACATCTTCCCCGTCCCGCTGTCTTGAATTTGTACAGAAGTTCGAGCCACCTTTCCCCACTTCACTTAGGCCTAGGTGCCTTTCGGAACAGCAAGGTTAAAGAACAACGCCCGATCCAGCGCACCAATTTGCACACCACTAACCCAAAAGGACCTCATGACAAGCACTAGATGGCAGGCTGCGCAAACCGCCCTGGCATCTACACTGCCCCGCTGCTCCTATCCTCGCAACCCATGCGCAACAACTGGCCCCTGCCCTGCAAATCCACGCGAAAGCCACAAGCGGCCATGCTTGGAGGACTCACGCCAGATTGGGGATCTATGTTAGGTGCCCTGCACCCAACTTAGAGGTCAACTGAGCGCAGCACGCTGTAGTACTCCCGGCCTTTCGAGCCTGGGCATCAGGGCTTGGGTCCGATCGACAGGGCTTGGTACTCCGGCCAAACTTCTCACCCCCGGCCCAAGGCGCCAAGCCCCGGTCGTCCAGTCAACTCAAACAAACCCGCTGGTCCAGTTCTGAACTCGTTCACCCAGCAACCATCAATGCTCAGGCGCTGGCCAGTGTAGATAAAGCAGCCTCTGGGAGCCACGCCTTGGCCAGCGGACCACCCTTGAAGGGCACCACCCTTTTATAGCCCCAGGGCAAGTTGCCGCGGAACGCATATTTTCGGCATATATCACTAGGTACCGCGTGGGTGTATATGGAAAATATACGCCTGCGTGTATGTCCAACGTGTGTATGTGTGTATGTACGTATGCATGGATTGATGGATGCCCGGATGAATACATGGATGAATGGATGGATGTATGCATGGCTGGATGGATGGAAGTCTGTCTGCAAGCACGTATGTATGTGTCTATGAATGCATGCATGCATGCATGCATGCATGAACATTTTGCCAAGTACATCTTCATAAAGTAGTTGGCACAAACACTTCCTCACAGCCATAAGCAACTAATAACTAGTATGTCGAGTGTATTTATGTGTATGTATTTGTATGCATGTGTGTATGTATGTTTAGGTAGGTAGGTAGGTAGGTAGGTAGGTAGGTAGGTAGGTAGGTAGGTAGGTAGGTAGGTAGGTAGGTAGGTAGGTAGGTAGGTAGGTATGTATGTATGTATGTATGTAATGCATGTATGTATGTATGTATGTATGTATTTATGTATGTATGTATGTATGTATGTATGTATGTATGTATGCATGTGTGTATGTATGTATGTATGTATGTATGTATGTATGTATGTATGTATGTATGTATGTATGTATGTATGCATGCATGCATGCATGCATGCATGCAGCATGCAGGCATGTGTACGTGTACGTGTACGTGTACACGTGTACGTGTACGTGTGCGCGTACGTGCATGCCTGCATGAATGCATGCATGTATGTGCGTAGGTGCAAACTTCACCATCATTCCAAAGCCTCAAATAAGGGATCCCCAAGTGGAGAGTATTTACCAAGGTGAGCTCGTTTTAGCCCCAGGTGAGCTTTCCAACATATGTACATATATATATATATATATGTGCGTATATATGTATGTATGTATGTATGTATGCATGCATGTATGTATGTATGTATGTATGTATGTACGTACGTACGTATGTATTGTTATATGCATTCAAGTGTTTGCGTATGCATTTGTATGTGCATGTGCATGTGCATGTGCATGCATGTATGTATGGATGTATGCTCATGTACTTTTATGTATGCATGTAGGCCGCACATGTATGGTTCGATCTATGCATGTAAGTATGAACACAAGCATGTATGCATACGTACATTTGTACAATTGAATACTGTTGTATCTAGTTCTCTATCGATCTATCTATCCATCTATCTACCCAAGTATCAACAGCATACCTATCTATCTACTGTTCTGATTATCTACTTGCCGATCTACCTCTCTATCTGTGCACCCATCCATCCATCTATCTGCCAATTGCTCGATCTATCTATCGATCGGCATCTACAGACCTATCTATGGATATTTACTTGTCTAAATAATTTTATCAAGTTATCAATCTCTATCCATCCATCAACCGATCCAGCGACCTTCAAGAAAGTCAGAGCACTCGGTGTGCAATTGTATTGGTTTTCGGGGCGGGTTTGAAAGATCCCGGAGGAGCCGGCATGACCAATTTCCCAATGATCAACGGTTGGCTTTGCATGAGCCACGGCTAAAATATTCACTGTCCCAACTGACATGGGAATTTGGTGACTAACCCCGGGAAGTTGGTGCTGGCAATTTGGTGAGTGCCCCACGTCACCCCCCTCTGTTTCTCATGGTACTTGGTAAGGGCTCCTTCACTCGATCTGAAAACACTGCAGTTCACTGCTTAGGTTGCAAGCCCGACAGCAGGAAGGCACACTGAAGGCTGCTCGCCGGAAGCCGCGAATTGGAGAATGCATGACGGGCGGAGGTTACTACTTGGCAGCAAACGGAAACATCCCCAGGGTCATTCAGCTGCCCCCTCCAGTCACTTCCGAAGCTTTCTGTGTATTCCATCCTGGGGGGTTGCGCCCGCTGTGGAGTTCGCCCTTCCTGGCTGTTAGTTCTACACCACTTCAAAATTAAGTAGTGTCATTGCCATGCTCACTGCCCTCAGACTTGGCTCCTCTGTTCTTGGACCCGGTGATTGATGGACCAGTATTGCGTGCAGTTTTGGACTCTTGACAGCTTGATTGACTCTCACGAACGTGTTGCTGTTCCACTGCAGCACTTGCTACACGAAGATCATTGCCTTGTGTTGCCCTGTGGGCTCTGAGGGTCCCAGAACGCGCGACCCGTGATAACAATCCCACATCTGGGACTCACAGAAAAACAGAAGTCCCAGAATCACAGACCCACATGTGAGTCATCTGGGACCCACATCTGAGACTCACGTTTCAGATTCTGCGTCGTGTTTCGCCTAACCCGCCGAATCACAGAAACAGCTTGGAGACCCCAACCCTCCAAGGCCCCCGGCAGAGTTCCATGAGACCTTCTGCGGACGGCCGGCCTCCCAAGGGCGCTGCCGTGATGAAGACCTCAGGCTGGGGGTCTGCCTACCAGCGCGCGAACACGCAGGAGCGCGCAGCAAGTTCGTGTGGGTCAAGAAGTGGTTCCCAAAATGCAAGCCCAGTAAATGGAAACAAAAATCGAACTGCGGTCAACCTAGTGGCCTTATTTCTGACCCCCACCCCACATGGCACCCCAAAGGGATCCCCCAAAAGGAGGCTCCTTTGGGTTCCATGTTCGCCTGCAGGTTTTGCACTCGATCCCAATCCAGGGCTTATGGCCAAGATCGCTTTCCGCAACTCTTTTGTCGCGAGCAGGGAAAACCACGTCTGCAAAAATCAGTGGGCATGAGACTTTTTTTACTTTCAGCGTCCCTTTCAATGTCCGCCCATGCTTCCAACCAAAAGCACATGTCACCCCGAAAAAGCAAACTCGCTTTAGTCTTTTTTCCGGCCGCCATGTCGGAAGAATATGTTGCTGTCTTGTAAAGCTGGACTTATCAACTGGAGTTTCCCTTTAAAACAACCCACAATACCCAAAAAACGCTATCAAGAACACACATACACCCAGTTGGAAGTGTCTTTGTTTTTTAAATCACCCCCCCTCGGTAATCGCATGGGGAATTATTTCGTGTCCACCATTTTGAGGGGGTTCCAAACCTTTTAAATTCAAAACTAACCGCAACGGGGTAACCTGAAAACGACAAACCTAAAGTGCCATGGCATCGTTGCCTTGGGCGAAACCCTGTAACTGTCTAAAATCCTGATTAGGGGGCTGATAACCAAAGCTACCCAGCCCACTTAAAGGGCGCCATAGAAAAGGTCACCATAGCTGCCAAGTTGTTGGCCAAAGCAAGAAAAGTGTTTACCGCCAGAACGAGTGGTTCGGTCTCTAACCAAAGGATTACCCCCCTTGTTGAAGTTCCCTAAGAAGAGGCAAAGCCATTGCACATGCCACACCGGATTCATACACCCCTGGTTCATTTTCATGGAGGGGCAGAAAATGAATGGGACGGGCTTTCCTGAATGTCAGGAGTCAAGGAGCCCTCCGTTGGGTCAGTGGCAAACTCCTCCCCCCCGATGCCAGGTGCGCCCCACGGCATTGTCCACGCAGTGCCGGGAGAAGTTGGACAGCCACGCCGCGTTGTAGGCCGACCTGCGGTCGGCGAAAAACAAAAAAGCGGTACCAAAACATGTACATGAAGATTAAACAAACAAAACACATGTAGACATATGGAGAGCACCTGAATCATTGGGACAAAGGTGAAACCATTGACAATAGGAGAATCAAACTCTTTTCATGCTCGTCCTAATCGCTGGGAAGTAGATACAACCAATGTCAACTTCGGATCGATCTGGAGGCCGATCCATTTTATGCAGGGACTCGGATTCGTGTGGATTAATCTAGTCAGAGGGCAGCCAAATCTCCCCTTGAAGGCTGAGCTTCGGACTGGACGCTGGACGCATAGCGGTCGCAGTAGTTGTTCGTGGTACCGTCCTGCGTTCGGCGCGTGTGCGTGCGTGGGTGTGTGTGTGTGTGGGTCTGTGTACGTCTGGGGTGATTGTGGGTGTGTGTGGGTCTGTGTGTGGGTCTGTGTGTGGGTCTGTGTGTGGGTCTGTGTGTGGGTCTGTGTGTGGGTCTGTGTGTGGGTCTGTGGGTCACGTCATCTAGCGACCATGTTGTGACGGTTCAAGCGGCCAACAGGTCAATTTGAGAACTATGGCCAAAGGCTGCAGAGACCTAGCACCCGTGCTGCACCGGGAGGATCAATTTCCTCTTGAAGGGACCCTCTACCATGTGGGCTATCAATCTGCCAGGGCTCATAGGCTTTGTGTCAGCCTTGGCGGGTAGCAAAAGTTGATCAACATAACAGACTTACGCATGGAATCTCACGTGCAGCAGCGAATAGGACTACCACGTGCTTGCATCTGCTTGCTATGAGACGCCTTCTCAGTCATGAACATTTGTCGCCTCTCAAGCCTTCTCAACCCTCAATGCGGGTCTCGGCCTCCTGCATTTTTACAGTTTTGTCCAAAGCCAGAAAGAAGGGATTCCCAGGCAAAGGACCTACATCATGGTAACATCGTTTTTACAAAGGAAAATCAATTCAGTTTCGGAGACTTCGACCGGCATGGCAGCCACTCTCCCTGTCAGTGATGAGGTTGCGGAAGGGCTTGGCTCGGCCTGGACGACGTGAACCAAAGCTCCGTTTGGCAAATCATCAGCGTGATTGAATCGAATTCATTTGACTTATCAGCACGGGCGGCATTGGGCTAGGCAGGGTCTTGCCGCTTTCCTACGTAAGGCTGCCTTCCTGCTTGCGGTCTTCCTGTCTTCTGCTTTGAAGATGCGCGCTCTGAAAACGAAACGTATTCCTGGGGCCCCCTTACCACAAGGTGGCAACCATAAACCACTAGATGTGTTGGGATCACAACATCGATGCCCCCTTCTGCGTTCTGCGGGAAACACAAACCGCCGAATTACAAGGGGAAACCTAACAAATTCTGCAATGCCACAAAACCCCGGCAGCCTTCCGCAGCAGCGCTGCGCAGCACGTCCAGCGAACGATTCACAATGACCTGAGTGGCAACACCTGGTTCCAGACCCATGGTTTCAAAATAACAAACGTCTGGCTACACTAACTACACAAGTCAACAAATCAAAGCTTGAAAGTGTAAATGTTTGGCGCCAACAAGTCAGAGCACATGCCGATACCTAGAAACTCTTTCGGCTGAAATTTCAGCCGAATCTGAATCGCATCAAAGTTCGGCCGAAGTCATGAACATTTGCCGGAATCAACAAAAACAGCCGGAATTGGACCACTGAGGCTCAAGGAGAATAACACTCATATGTATAGTCACCGGAATGGACTCGAGTTTCCTATTTGGAAAGTGTTGCCGGATTTGTTGGAAGTTTCGCAGAAATTGTGGGAAATTTTCCGGAATTTCGGAAAGTTATGTAAAACAATGCAATAATAATGCTCAAACTGCCAGTTGAAGAATGGCCGCAAGGCTAAAAATTGGCGGGAAATGCAAAAAGGATACTTGTTCAAAAAAAGCTATTTTTCGGGGCATTTTGATTTTCTAGGCAACATTGGCCAGTCTGGCACCATCCGACAGTTTCCACTATCCTAGTGGAAGGAACATTTTGCACTTTACCAATTGCAGTCATACTACGGCTATTCCCTCCCACCAACAAACATGGGAGTGCACAAGCCCCAATTTGAAGACGACATTCTTTTCGGAATGCCTGTGTCCATCTTCGTTGGCGGGATGCTACCAACCCCCTCCCTGCCTCCCAGGTTGGGATCTCCTTCACCTTGGCGCGGTGCCCGTGGGGAGGTTATGGAGGTTCAAGCCCCCGCTGGAACATGGCAACTGCGCCCCCTTCTTTGCCACGCTCCAAGACAGCCCAGTGGTAGAGTTAAGCAAAACAGCCCCAGATCCTGATGAGTACCAAAGGTTGGCAAAAGGACGGGATCACAAACCATCGTTGGAAACAAACCTCTTTGAGTTACTTTTGAACGGTCTCAGGGTTTACTTGCTGACACCACCTTTGCCCAACCCGGCCGTTCACTCCACGCACATTGCTTGGCTTGCTAAAAATCATCCGTTGCCGCGTCCTCAGCAACATGAGTTTAAGAGGAGGAAGGCATCTTCGGCGAGCGGCAAGAGCAAGCTTCTCCTATCCTTGGGATTGAAGGGACGCCGAATGGAAACCAGTCTTCAACTGTAGGGTTCCCCCCCCAGAAATGTAAGTCCGCTTTGCAAGCCTTTGGTCTCCCTGGACTCTTAGGTTCCATGAGGCCTTCGGAGGCTTAGATTTCACTTGCATGGTAGCGGCATACAACTCAACAAAACAAGGGCGCTTTTGGCCGCATGCAAGTGGCTACGAATGTGCCCCCAAATCATCCGTGCGAATTCATGGCGGGGCACTCCCCCGCACAAGTGAAGGATTCGTCTCAAATCAAACACGGCTCCTCCCCCCCCCACACATGATGCAAGAATTGAAGGATTACTTCTAAAAATTGGCTAACCAGAGGTTCATGTGTTTTTCAGATTCCTATTCGCCTCCCCACGCGTGCGCGCGCTTTGCGCGCTTTTCCCAGTTGCCTCTATACGGCTCAGCGCCCCAGCCTCCCGCCACGAAAGTGGCGGGGTGAGCTCTTAAATTGATTGAGCTTGGTAGCCATGGCCGCGACTTTCTCTGCAAACCTGTCATGGTCTGTCAACTCGTGGCACTTCGTAGTGTCACTTTTGGGATGTGCAGGGCCCATGTTGGAACAGACTTCGCACACTCCCTGGGCTCGAGCTGCCACCAAACCACCTAGCTGCTAATGATGGGCAGGCCGACAACCCCTGTCGTGCTCCTGCAACCCCTGGCTTTCCTGCGCAGCCGCATGCCTGGCTCACTTGCCCTGACCCCCCCCCCAAAAGAGAAAAGAAAAAAAACGAAATGGAGTCAACTGAGTGCACGCCCCGTTCGCACTCAGAAATCGTCGCTGCTCGCACTGTCCCCGTGCTTCGTCCGACGTCCGCTTGACAACTTCCTCGTGATTCCCTCCTGGGCACATCTGCACTGGCGCTGTCAGGCAGGCCCAGCCCAAAGGTCAACGCTCGTGACCTAGCGACTGCTGCAAGTCAGGATCAAGGCATCATGGCCACCGTTGTCTTTGCAAACCAAAGCAGAACATTCTCTTTGGAGGCTTGCCGTTCAAAATTGGATTTCAGCCTTCCATGGCCCAGATCTGCTGAGGGCCACCGACATGAGGTCTAATTGAAGCTGCCGCCATGACAAACGCCCAAGAAATGCAGGGGCTTGGGTTCTCATCATCCCCCAAATTTGCTTTTAAGCTCCAATGCCAAGCTCCTGAACCGGGCCGTCGCGCACATGACAGACCTGGGCGCCGATGACATGTGAGACCCCGACTTTCTTTTACAAGAGTTACTCAAGTTCATGAGCGAGTTGGGTGTTTCCTTGAACCCCAAGGGCTTAAAATCTTACCCTAAGAGTTGCCTCCAACCCCAAGGGCAGCTCAACCTGAAGGCTGGGTGGTCTGCTCAAAAGGGGCATGTCACGACACATGGCACCCCTGTCCTGCACGCCTTTGCACACGCAACATCGCGCCTCTGCCTCCGCACCAGCACCCCGCAGTGTCCACAGCCAAAGCCGCTGCCTGCGCTGTCAAAAAGAACTGGCCCTTTCGAGTCGCACAGAAAACTGGGATTGAGAGGCCTGCCGGTCCACCAAACGTATCCCATTTCCAACAAGCATGGAAGCGAACAGCAGGGTTTTGGAGGACTACCTACCTCCTCTTTTAAAAAGCGCCACCCAATGTCGGAAACAATGATAAAGGATCAAAGGGTAGACTCCGGGGGATCTATCTTCCTGGGTTGTAGGGTGCAGCTGTTGGCTGTGTAGTTTCGCCCTACGACACAACCGCATTTCTAGAAAAACTTGTTTGGTGCCGCCCAGACCCAGTTCCTTCCGCTTCTCCTGACACACCAAACCGGCAGCCCATGCAGCACGCCTCCGTGCCAGCGTGTCCCGCTCGCTCTTCACCTCCACGAAGCGCGCGCGGATGCCACGGCCCCCGTGCCAGCACCAAAGCCTGGAGGCTCGGAGGTGGGCCGTGGGGCGGTTGAGCCCCCAGTTGAGGCGGCGCACAAGAAATTTGAAAAGTTTCAATGCCTGAGGGAACCCCGAAAATTTTGAAGGCTTGCCGGACAGGATCTTAGCGCCAGCAGCGGGGGGGTGGGCCGCAGAAATTTTGGGGAAGGTTTAGAAACAAAAGATCTGAGCGCCCTCGGCCTTTTTAGGGCCGAGGCGAATTCAACATGCTGCCCACAAGGAATACATATGTCTCCGCAACTCGTCCGAGTTCTGGAGAGCAGAGTAGGCAGAGTTAAGACAAATAGAGCTCCACGGGTCAATCATTTATTTGTGCCAAGGGCGAAGGAAAACGTTCAGTTCTGTGGGCCAAAACTGAAATAGTCTTTTGGTCCCGAAAAGCATGACCTCCTTCTGGCCAGGCATGTCTGACGTGTCTGAGACTCCTCACAGCCCAGCCCAACCAGCAACCCAGCCAAACCAGCAACCCACCCAAGCAAGGGCACGTCAGACACTGACTAAGACTCGCTGTTTTAGCAGTTTCTCGCCTTGGCCAATGCTCGATCCAAAGCCTGGCAAACAAAACATCCTTGCTGATATGATTTGGGTAGAGGGCAAAGACTTCTGATGTACTAAATCTTGACCCAGCCACGGAAGCACATGCCAAGACTCAACTGGGTTCGGCTTTCTACTTTTTCTGGCAAAAACACAACGCCGGAAGGCAGCCCGTGGCATGCCACACTTGGTCATGCGTGGCTGTACCCTTGGAGTTGTTTGAAAGCACCAAAGCCAAACCGGCTTTCACTCCGACCCAACAACTCCAAGACTTCAAGCAGCAAGTGTGAAACAAGGACACATCTTTGTCAAACCTTGCATTTCAGCCGGACCCTCAACATCCCACCTCGGCTCTGCTCTGCCAAGGCACAATAGGTCTGGAAGCCCAGAGGAGTTGTAGTCCTCGCCTCGGAATCGGCCGACCGCATCCGCTGGCGAAGTCCCGGCCCAAGCTTGTGAGAGACTTCTCCCAACACCTATGGAACGTGGAAAGTTTGGGTCATCAGTGGAGAGGATGAGCCACAAGAGCAGCCCTGCATGCGAAAGCAACAGACCGAGCAGCAATCACAATTGTCCGCGTTGGTCGCCATCTCAAAGGTATCGGGTCGTGTTGATGTAGATTTGCTGACGTGCAAATATGCGGTTCTTTGAAATGGCATGGGGAAACATCCGGCTCCGAAGCTCCCCTCCCCAATCCCTCCGTGCAAGCCAAATGAGACTCTAAGGTGTTGCCAAGGGCTAAGGAAACCAAACTGCAAATGGAGCCATGCCGCAAGAACGTTCAAAACTTGCTGGTTCTCAGCAAGAATGAGGGAGGGAATGAGAAACCTTGTGGTTTCCTTTCAGGAGATTTTTCGGTTCATCCCAAAAACCTATTTGTTGACCCCATAATAATCACCCCCACTTTATTCATGCGCTGGGGGCCCCACCAAAAGTGGCCTGATCCCCCACCAAACCCAGGTAGACCCCCCCCTACTAATGAACCCGGAACGGTCATTCCTTACTGAGAACCGGCACGAAACAATGGGCGAGAACCCTCGGCGCCGCGCAGAGCAGCCGCAGCGCCGCGGCCAGGACGCGGCCGCCCAGCGCCCCGGCGCAGGCGCCCAGGCTGCGGTCGCCGCATGGCACCTGGCTCTAGATCCAAAACCCACCGGAAGGGTGTCGTCTAAAGGAACAGCCCCGTAACAAAAGCAGTTTCAAGCACCCCTGGAATGGTTCACACATACCATTCCCCCTATATGCATGCATCTAGATATGGACTGGATAAGTATGTATGTATATATATATATGCTAAGACCCCCTCCCAATACCAAGGTTTTTTTTTTGTGTTTGACTTGTGGGGCAAATGATGGATGCTTTGCAGGGCAGATGTAGAGGTGACTTCCAGCAACCAATTGGACAGTTCATGAACTCATTGCTGTTGTTTTTGTGAATAGTACCACAGCGACATGTATGTTTGTAACATATACAAGTGGTGGCCACGTTTGGCTCAAGTCACAAGTTCTCCAACCCAGCCTATGCGTTGCTGCGATTCGTATTCCGAACTCTTGCACCAGCGTTGCAGGACAGCACAACCATTCCTGTTGGGACACAAAGCTGTTTCCCTGCGATTCTCACTTCATATCTACTCTGCACTTCCTCTTTCTCCACATGACTGAAAGCGCTGCAACATAAGGTGTTGTTGATGATTTGTCACCTTCTTTACGGTAGCAGGTGTTTCGTCTTTAGAGGATTGAAAAAGGCAATAAGTCCAAGACGGCTTGTGTTCGGCTTCAAGCATGGTTTTGATTGGAAACTTTGATGTTTACACTGGTTTCGAGCACACGTAGTAAAGCAACATAATCTGTGTTTTGCAGCTTGAGCCCCATAAAATGCCAGTCAGGAACCTGAGGCCATCGGTAGGGGGGCTGATGACCGTACCAATCATTTGGCCATACATTGCGCACCAAGCAACACCCCCAAATCCATGTCCAATTGATTCTCAAATGGTTGCTATACCAAGTATGTTGACCCAACCTCATTTGAGAACGTTTGGTGAAATCCTGCCTTCATGGTTGTGTGAACCAAACCAACATTTCTGAAATGCCAAAGTGGGCCACCCGCTTCGTCACATTTTACTGGGGTTTGAACCTGGGCCTACGCCCCTTCTCAGCCCAAAAAACAGAACCTGAAGAAGATGAAAGCTCTGAAACTTGCACAGGCCCAAAAAGAACAAAACAGACAGAAAATCCGGACAAACAAGAATAATGAATAGCAATGCAACACCTTGTCCTTACTGGATTGTACTTAACATTTCAATTGACATCGAATTAAAGCAATGTTTGCAAGGAGCTCATTTTCAAACTCTATTTTAAACCTAAGTTCTGGTTGGACTGGTTTCGTCATGAAAACAAATACCACAGTTGTTTAAGCCACATTTAATCTAAATACATTTGGGAATGAGCTCCTATTTGAAATGATGTTCAGAGGCCAATTGAACAATTGCCTTTAACTCCGATTTGGAAAGGGATTCTTATTTAAATTCTAATGGAATATATATATATTTTCACATGAACTATGGCCTTACTAAATTCCAGTCAAAATGTCAATTCAGTTTGAAGTAACATCTTATTTGCAAAGGAATTCACATTTGATATTTCGGAGGTTCAAATCTCCTGAATCTAGATTGATCTGCTCAGGATCCGCTTTGATGCTCTCGAGATACCAGTCCATTGTGGTTATTAGCACGGGAATGGGATAGACTTGAATTTGCCCGAGCCAGTAGCTGTTCATTAAACAGATTGAAATTGTGCATTGAAATGGTCTCAATTCGTGTAGGCTCAGCATTCCCCGCAAATTTAGTTTATAAACTTCCAAGTCTGGTTAATAAACTCTAAACTCTTGGACTCCTGGCAGTTGGATGAGGGGGAGGGGGGGGGGTCCCTGCCTGGCAACTCTTGAAGGGGAGGGGGAGGGGGGGAGGGGGGGGGGGGCGGCAACTCTTGAAGGGGAGGGGGGGGGAAGAGTTCTAGCAACCACCCCCTCAAGAGTTGCCGCGCACCCCCCTCCCCCCCCGCTCCCCTGCCACGGACCCCCCCCCTCCCCCCCCCCAATCCAACGATCAAGAGTTTATAAACCAGACTTGGACGTTTATAAACTCCAACACTGAATTGTAAATCAGTCAGTTATGTGATCTATACTCATCCAATGACACATAACGATGATCAAGCACTTGTAGTAAGACATGTGTTCTGATCTTTAGCAGGACCCCAACTCAACTCCAGGTTTTCCTCAAACAAGCGACTTTCTATACAAAAAAAAACATGCAACATGTACATTTTAAAGCAGGAAAACCTTGGTATTGGGGGGGGGTCCTACCATATATATATATATATACGTGTACGTATATACTTACTAATAGGCATGTGCATACGGCAGGTGCTTGGGCAGTCAATACTTAACACCCAAATACATATCGGCCAGCAAGGCATGATCGGGAAACACACACAAAAAAAAAAAAAAACATCCTCGGACTCGCAAAACACATGCGATCTAATTCGGTGCCCAACTCAAGCCGATATGATTGGTGCCACCGTGCAAGTACAGTAGCAGCTTTGCATGGGTGGGTTATTAGTAATCATTGCAATCAGGTGAGGTTGACTTGGGTTCGGTCTTGGCCTTGAGTGGTGGGGGATGTCCTTTGACGTGTAGATCTGTTGTGTTGTTCCTTCTCTAGGCTGATAAGGCTGCATTTGCACAATGCTGTACTTGCTACATTCGGCCATTGGATCTTCGGCCAAGCCCGATTCAAGCCTCCCCTCAAACGGGGCACGCAAAAACATGAAAGCCTTGCCTGCCTGGAACGAAACTTGAAGGCATGCCTTTGCCTTCGGGTAAACTTGAGAAAAGCACGGCAATTTCGCAGGCAGCTTGGGAAACTGGACTTTCAGCTTGAGGCTTGGGCAGGAACACTTAAAGCTGAGCCTTCACACTGGGAAGGAAGCGGCGGCCCCTTGCCGATCACATTCGGCCTGATCTGGGTTGGTGTCCAAACAAAAAACTTGGGGGGTTTCCCTTCGGCTTCCCTTTGACACAACCTCACCCTCAAACCACACGCGCGCCCATGCTGAGCAAGCGCAACCAGCCTCGCCAGAAGTACAAAGCAAGCGCCGCGTTGCCGGTGTTTTGGTGGCATCCTGCGCCTTGGGTCATGCCCCTCAAAAATGCAGCTCAAAATAACGGGTTCCTTATGGCCCCTGAGAAAGGATTTGCAAACCAATGACGTCCTTTTGTTCTGACCAGGCTGTCAAGAATCAACATAGCCTAGAAAGCAGAAAGCAAAAACAAGCATGAACCCACTCCAAGGAGGGAGAGGGGTCAAAATGGTTTAAGCCCTGCATCCGAGTCGCCTCTGGCCCTTCAGGATCTTCAGGCTTCGGAGCGTCTGACCTCAAGGTCGGCCGACTCTACAAACCTCCGCAATGCTTCGGGTCCTTTGAGGCTTGCAATGTCCCTGCGAGATCGGGAGCCATGAACGGCCCAAGCATTTGCATAAATACAGCCCTTGGCCCAACTGCGCTACTCAAGCCAAGTGGGTTGCATTGCCAGTGGCCTACAGGGCTGGTAGGAGGCATGCCCACTTGTTAGAACAACTGGGCATTTTGAAAATGCGTGAAGCTTTCGAAGAGTCACCGCCTGAGCACAAGCATGGTTGAGCTAAAGTAGCACCCCCTGCAACCCCTCCAGCGAACATCAAACCGATGTAGAGTAAAATGCAACAAAGCTACATTCTAAGTTGACGCCTCTGGATTTGCATCTTTTTGCAGGAGTTCCAGGTGCGCTACAAATGCTCCCTGCATTGGATGGGTGAATGCGACAAAGACTTTGGGAGCCTGGAAACATTAATTTCAACCACACTCCATACATTCCAACCAGGATGTTCCCAGGGGCTCCGACAGAGAGACAAGCCCACATCTGGAACTCTGTCCTGAGATGTTTGTCTATTGAGTCTATTGGCAGGCTAGTCAGCACTATCTGTTGAAAAAAGGCTTGATCTGCAGATGAGGTGGCTTGTTGTGCCGGTTGAGTCTACAGCCCTTCGACCCGGATGCACTAGTGCATACATATACGAACATATACGCACACCTAATGCCCACATATACTGCACATAAATACGTGTGTATATATATATATATATATATGTATATATACAGACGTGCCAATGGTTGTGTGTGCAATATGGTATGTTCAGAATGTCCATGCGACTAGCCAATACCAATCTCAAACATCGTTATAACACGAACAGCCCTACCAATCTCCAAGTGAGCTACTAAGTTGACTGGCTGGAGTTCAGACTGAAAGTTCCCCGGCGACGAGGAAGACCCCTGACAAACACCAGCTTCAAGCTTGTAACGTTGGACAGGTGGGAACCACCGGTGTCCCCTGCTCACCGCCAAAGGCACAGGAACACGCCGCCCTCCTCGTAGCGGTCCCAGCGCACGCCACGGAGCCGCACACCCTGATGCTGAATCATCTTGCGGGTGACTTCCGCAGCCAGCTCGCCTGACACGGCGCAAGAGGGTAGCGCCTTGGGGATTATTTTTTTTAATACAAACGCCACGAAGACCAAAAACGACGACATACCTTGTCATTTCTCGCAGGGCAATGAGCCTTGAAACATTTAGCACCCACTCACTGGCAAGTGGAAGCTGCGATGCCAAAGACTTGTGACTCGGCTGAAGGGAGCTGAGTTAGCCAGCTATGTCCCAGTCAAGCATCTTGGGGTGGCATTCACCGGACAAAACAGGACAGGGGGATAGAGATCGCATTGCAGCCACGCGGCCAGGCAGCATGTTAGCGATCTCGGCTAGGCCTCAAGCTGCCGTTCAGCAACAGCAACGTCTGGAAACAAAATCATCGAAAGCCTATGGGAAACCCATGGACCCCATCCAAAACGACACAGGCCACAGGCCAACTCCCAAGACCTTTCGCCGCGCGGCGCCGCTCGATCGAGGTGATGCGAGAGGGGTAGAAGGCCTGCGGCAGAAATCGCGTCGAAGCTTCGCGGCCGAGTCGCACGGGCTCCATTCCCCCGCCCGTTCAAAACTGGGTCCCAAAACGCGACCGTGTTGAGACGTTCTCAAAATTAAGCTTGGCTTTCCCGCTTGGAACCCGCATTTAGAAGTAAATTCCGAGGATGCGACTTTAGTGGACCCATTTTTGGCTGTGTGTGGAAGACCGATGTGCAGAACTCAATGTGTGGAACAGCGCAGCCCTCCAATTCCAACGCAAGCTACCAAATGAAATAGAAAAGGCTGGAAGCGTGCGGAGCCAAGAAAGAGAAGTCAAGTCAAACTTTAACTGGCAATTGAATGGTAACAGGGCGACTATCATGTAACAACTGACCCTTGGGTGACTAGATGGCAATCGGGCCACAATGAGGCTGCTAACAAGCAAAGCGACAAGGCAAAGGAAAGCTGCGCAGCTTGAATGCTTGAATAACTTCCGACCTTGCGCTCTTTGCGAGGGGGATGACGCAATCCGCGCCTCAGTTCCCAAATCCAATGGCGCGTCCTGCAGAGCACGGTTTCGCGCTGGGATGTGGCTTGTCTGTTGAATTTTGATGCCCTTTTTCGGCTAGACAGAAAGAGCAACCTGATGGTGCAGAAACATATTTTCAGGTTCCTTGATCCCCTTGACAGGGGGGTTCAACAAGTAATCCCTTGGGATTGCATTCAGCCCCGGATCCACATTGAAGGGGCCTCCAACCTTGGAGTGTCTTTCCTGCTAGGCCCTTGTCTAATGTGAAACTTCGTGCATTACATAGCCGAGTTGCTTGAAGATACGCAAAAAAAATCATAATAATTCATATTGCTGGGGTCCTACGCCTGCTCTGCTGTAGCTCTCACAAAGCACCCTGTCAACATCCCTCACTCTGTCAGCCTACCTTAGTGGGCGATCTTGACACTAGAGCAATACACAACTGACACAAATCCAAAATCCACAAATGGGGCAGCCCTGATATGGTTGTAACCAAATTTGTCACAACATGTCGGCCTACCCTGTTCAAAGACATGTGGCAAGGTAATTTTGACAACCCTCAGCGTGCAACAGCAGCAACACGCCCTTGGGGAGCTAGGCCCTGCCGCAACATGCTCTTTCTATGGCGTACCGTCTAGGCAAAGGTCAACCAAATCAAGCAACGTGGAAAATCAAGTCAAGGCGGGCAAAAAGGCCACCCAACCAGCGCGCGCGTGCCGCTCATTTCTTTTTGGCGCTTCACTTGTGCTCGGCCGTCTATCCAAAACTCCGCCATGTGGTTGAGCAGGCGCCCGGGCGCTGCCAACTTGCTGCCACCTGGAACTTCGGGCGCCCGACGTCGCTTCTGTTCACTTCATTTCACCCCGATTTCGCGCTCAATTTGGAAACAGAACGCCTCCCCCCCTCCTCCTACATCCCTCCCCCCCCCCCCCCCCCTTTTGCCGCTTGATTCCAAACAGAATCAAAGAGCACTTTCAAAAGGCTGCAAATTGCCTAGGTTCCTTGATTCGTCGGGTTCCTTTGCACAAAAACAAGCAAACACAACCTGTCCCACCTTGGGTGACCCGAAACGGCTTGCGACAAATATGTGCCTTTTGGACGCGACCCGATGATTGCCCTTTGGTAAAAAAAAATGTCCCCACCGTTTGTTTCAGCAGCCGATTTTGGGGTCGGTAAGCGGACCACTCGCGCGCCTCGGAGCACTTCTCCTCGTACCTCGCCTTGCCCTCTTGTTCCTGCATCTCCTTGAGCTGGCCGTTCTCCGAGCGGTGCTTCACCTGGCACGAAACGAGGGGCAGAGACATCCCTCTTGCCAGCACCCTCCGACTGCCCAGTGGCCGGTAGATAGAACTTTTCCAAACAAACAACTCCCGTCTTTCTTTTCATTTGTGGGATGCCCATGGTCATGACTCGCAAGTGACGGCGTGTAAGTGACACGCAGTGGCAGGCAAGCTCTACTACGTAGTGACACGCATGGACTTGCGTGTCACTGCCTGCCACTGCGTGTCACCTGCGTGTCACCTGCGTGTCACCTGCGTGTTGGGGCTTGGGAAGGGGTAGGGATACAAGCTCGGGTCTTAGTGTGGGAAACAATGGTAGTTTTAACTGCCTTTGGTGTATTTGCGGGAGCACTGCCAATCAGAGAGCGGAAAAAAACGTCATGCTAAAGCGCAAAGAAAGTTCCTTCTGAATGACCCCCTTTTTGTGTTTTGCACGGGAGCACCTGCTCCTTGGTTTCAAATCTCACTTCAGTGAAGGGCAAAAATACACGAGATTCCGAGACATTGACCAGCTCTGCAAGTTCACGTGGAACCCGAAGGCCCCCCATGCTGCAAAGGAATCGCCAAATGTGGCACCCTCGTTGGGGTTCAAAGCGGGAGCAAACTGCCGTGTGCAGGTGTCTGGGTGATAAAATCTAGTGATTCATGTACCCGTCTGTATTCCGACCTTCTGCTTGGTGGTCCTTTTACTACACTTTTTTTCGACCAGGTTTGCCGTACCGTGAAGATGATTCCACTTTCAGGCCCCAATTGCATCATATCAAAACGACAGCAGGCGGTCCAAACACGGCCCCTGCTCTAAGACATACAGCTGAGTAAAGAAAACAAAACAAAAAAAACAAGAGAAGCTTGGCATGCTTCGGCTACATTCTGCTACATTTATTGGCGGAGTCCAAACATAGTTGCCAGATAAAAAGACAACGCTCAACTCTGCAAGTTGCATCGCATCATTGGACCCCACACTGCCGGGAATTGTGATTTGGACAGCTTGCATTGTCTCCCGACTCTCGTCTACTCACCGTTTTGCACCCAACCAAAAACAAATGTTCAGATTCCTGCCCATATGTGTGAACCCTAAGGCTTGAAAACAAATACAACAGAGAGCCTCGCAGTTGTGCACCAGCGTGTTTTGAAGTGGGGCCCACCAAAACCCCACTCAACTCTGAAAAGCACAAAACAGCGACAACAATCCCAAAATGAATAGCGAGCCCATGTTGAACAACACCAACCTCCCAATCTTTGAAGGGCGTCTTCCCTTACCTTCACGGCCTTCTTCATATACAAACCGCAGGGGATCTCCTTGTTCACCCCCCCCCCCCCGCGTTTCTCTTCCCCCGCATGCGGCATTCGCGTCGTTCGGCATGCGGCATCCGCCGCTCCGCCGCCTTCTTGAACGCGTCGAGGATCACCTTGCGCGCCGGGCGCTGCAGGTGCCCCGCGGTGCGGTTCAGCGCCTGGGCCGCCAGCTCAAAGAGCTCCTTGTCCTCGGCGCCGCGGCTTCGGCGCCGGCTTCGGCGCGCGGAGCGATGCGGATGGAGAGACCCGAAAGAGGGGGAGTGGGTTTGACAAAGGGACTGCAACCCAGCACTGCAGATTATGGTGTCTAATGTGCATGCGGAGATACAATACGATATAATGTAAATCTATGTCTATATGCATATGGCATGATGGCTTTTCTGTTGGTTAAACATGGACTGCTTTTTGCTGGGCTTCATCCCGAAAGATCTTTTGGGCTGGCTGAGGTGCCGCCTGCACATTGACCAAAGGATCCCAAAAGGGGATGTGCTGCGTTCCAAATCTGCAGGGCAGGCCCACCCAAAACCTACCGAAAGTAACGGAGTGGCTCATACATCTCGTGTCTTTCTTTTGGCCGGCAAACTTTCCTGTTTGGCTTCCCCCGTAAGAATCTGGGACCCGTTATGGGTCCCCTGCAGTGTGAAAGAACATGGAAGAACCTATGTCCTGGGCCCACAGCAATCTAATGTGGAACCCATGCGTCTGTGACGCTGGCTAATGTTACACTAGTACATGGAGGTTGTCATGAGGCGGTGTTCAATTAAGCGTTGGGGCCATGTTTGGTTGCGATTGGCTCAGAGTCGGAAACATGCTGGCAACTCCCTTTCCGGCAAAGAGAAGTGGCCACTGCAGGCATTGTTGGAAACAGGAAGCTGAACCGGCCGAAATATGTCAAGGATGCCGCTCGAAGCCTTGGCACGCAACATGCACAGCAGCCAAAAAGAACTCACTAAAATTCACAAACCAAAATGAAGGAATCCCCAAGTAAAGGACTTAAGCTCGGAATAAGCTGCCCAGATGGATCGCTTTTGGGCCGGATGTTAACGTCGGATTGCTCCGGAGGACTCTGCAAAAATGAGGCTCCCCTTATACTAAAACCAAAACACAATTTTACAGGGCTCCGACGAGTAGGACGAATCAACTCGGACTTAGCTCCGGTGAGGGGTAAGAGCGCCACGATGCATTTGATCCAAGGGTCGTAGGCGTTGACGTCCGCCAGGCCACTGAGCACTCCCCCCACCTCGTCGGCCTTCAGCTGGCAGTAGCTCCGCAAATGCACCTCGCGAAGATGCAGCAGGGGAGGGGCTACTGGTTTCAGTTCCCTTCAGGCGGGCAAGTAAGAATTATGACAAACGCAAAACGGGGTATATGTGATCTCTTCTAGGCAAGGATCCTGTCCCGTTTCTTTGCTCAACAAGGGCGCTAAACAAACAGACAGACCGACAGGCAGACAGACAAACAAACGGACGGGCAAGCGGACAAGCAAGCAAGCAAGCAAGCAAGCAAGCAAGCAAGCAAGCAAGCAAAGCAAAGCAAAGCAAAGCAAAGCAAAGCAAGCAAAGCAAGCAAAGCAAGCAAAGCAAGCAAAGCAAGCAAAGCAAGCAAAGCAAGCAAAGCAAGCAAACAAGCAAGCAAACAGCAACATGCTTTTGGGTCAAATTCCTTGATATGTTGTTTGACCACTGGTTGCCAAGTTTGCCCCTAACCCAAACATGCCATGAGACCTTGTGACAACTGGGAGGGAGGGTTGTCATCTGAACTCTTGCAAGCGACGGCTGATTTCAATGCTGGCTGACTGAGCACATACTGTCCAACAAAGTTGCCAGTGTGGAGTTTCGCATGCAAATTCAATCCAACCTTCAGGTCTCTTTCCTGCCGCCGATGATGATACCGCCACATGTTCTCTGTTTCCCCGCCATCACCCGGAAAAGCAAACACCAACCAAAACCAGGAAACAGTTGAAAGAGTGAAAGCTCCAAACAAATCAAACAAATCAAACAAATACACATATTTAAAACAAAAGCAACAACAAACAAAAACAACAACATATAACAACAGCTGCTTTGGGACTTCTGGGCACCTTCACCGCCGCGATGATGTCCGCGAAGCTGGCCGCATCGAAGTACTTCACCCGTGCACAGGCCTCGTCCGACGCCGGCCGAAAGGTTCCGCCCACGCAGGTACCCGGCAGCTACCCCATCATATCCATCATAAAGCTGGGAATTTTTGGAGGTTGTGCATCTTGCGAGGGCCAATTGAGCGGCCACAATCCATTTACGTAAGGTCCTGTCACAATGACCATTGAGGCTGACACACACCCACACAGGGCTTACCATCACTCCCGGAAAAGTGCTTCAGCCTCCAAAATGGTACAACATTCAGAAACACAACGTGGACAACACCTCACCTTTTTTAGGGCGTAGGCTCAGCCCTACCTTCGGGCAACCCGGAGGAACT